TCTCAGGGCTCTTTTTGTAGAAAAAGCCCAGCAGGAACTCATTAGCATAATAGGCCACACCCAACAGCAGGAACTCATTAGCATATTAGGACATGCCCCTGACAGCACCACGTATTCGCATATTAGGCCATACCCCCATGTTACCAGAAGTGTGGTTATCCAGCCACACCCACCTTTTGCTTGTTATTCTGTTTACCTTGTTTGTTGTCCAAACCCAGGACTTTTCTTGTAGCAGGAACTCCTTTGCATGTTAGGCCACACACCTCTAATGTAGCCAATCCGAATGAGTTTCTGCTGTTGGGTGTGGCCTATTATGCTAATGAGTTCCTGCTGGGCGTGGCCAACTCGGGAGCCAGCCGGAACTCCGTTCCTGTGCGTTCCTGCCCAAAAATAGCCCTGATAAAATTAATAACATTAAAAGCCAATTTAAAACAAATCCAAGATGATATTACTAACAATTCCACAATTGAATTGAAAATTCTGGAATTCTGAACTGTTTTGGTCACTTAAGTTCTTTTTTGTTTTGTTTTTTTGGGGGATGGGTGCCAGCCATGTTGGAAAACCGTCACTGTCCCTGACCGAAAGCCTGGTGGAACATCTCTGCCTTCCAGGCCCTGAGGAACTGCACAAGGTCCTTCAGGACTCTGACCGTATTAGGCAGAGTGTTCCACCAGGTTGGGGCCAGCACCGAAAAGGCCCCGGTCCCGGTCAGGGACAGCTGGACCTCTTTGGGGCCAGGGATCACCAGTGAGTTGTTATCTGCGGCGCGTGACACTTTCCCGGGGACATAATGCAGGAGACAAAAATCTACTGGTGGTCTCTGGCCCAACTCGTGGTAATAACGCTTTTCTGAGGAGGAGATTGTATGGCTTAAGCAGGGGTTGTTCTGTCCTCCAGTTCGATCCAGGTGGGCAGCTGTGTTGGTCTGAAGCAGTAGAACAAGATTCGAGTCCAGTATCTGAGGAAGTGTCCGTGCACACGAAAGCTCATACCTCGAATAAACCTTTGTTGGTTTTCAAGGTGTCACGGGATTTAACATTTGTTCTGTCCTCTAGATTGTCACAGATTATGTAGACTAAAGTAGAGCTAAATCCATTCTGTGTCGGACATTCGCGCCACAGTTTCTCAGCGCTCAACCTGGTTCCCCCTTGCCTCAGAATATCTGCTTTCATTGCATTGCCTCGGATCCAGGTTTCTTCTCTGGCTAGTGTCAGCTTGCCATATATTTTGTTTTCAATGCTCACTCCTGCATTGGTATGCAGATTTTCCTGTGTCAATACTTGCCTCAGCGGTCATTAGCCACCTGAGCCAAGTAATTCATGACAAGGTGATAAATACAGACGGGGAAATAGGGGCTGGGGAACTGACAGAGATCAATGAAGCCATGTCAAGTTGTCTGCTTATGGTTCGAATCGGAAGTGGAGGAAAGAAAAGGTGCCCCTCCAAACCACATCCAGATACCCCGGGGCAAAGCCGTACTGACTGCAAAGTCACCCCTGAACAGCCATAAATCCATGCAGAAGGTACCATAAAACCCAATGAACAAAGACAGTGAAAGCGGCATGAAGTGTAGAGGCTCAGGGCTTCTGAAGGAAATGGGGAGCCTGTCAGACTCCTGGTCAAGTGACTCTCAACAGCACTCTCTTTGGCAGTGATATGTTTATTGAGTTATAAGCAAGATCCGGGGCGTAACAGTACTGTGTCAGATCTGAAGATTTTGGTGGGTACAATCATAGTGTCAAGAAGACGAGGTCCCCCCCTTCCTGAGTAGAGGAGACCTCGGGGGGCTTCCCCTGTTCCGTCGCCAGGGCCCTGGAGGAACAGGACGTGGTTGGCCCAAAGGTCCTGGGGTCTTCCCAAGTTACCTGTTTTGCGGAGGTCCCACAGAAAAGGAGGAGCAAGGGGACGGACCGGCAACTGGGCCTCCCGACAGGGTTCCGACCAGCAGCGGGAGGGTTGGGGGGAAAGGTAGATGAGTCTCAAGTCAGTCAGGCCTCACCCCCTGGCTCGATGCCTTTAAGGCGTGGGTGGTGGGGCACGCAGGTGGGTCAGCAGCAACAATCAAAGAGAACAAGGTGGAAGCCGGGGAGAATTGGTTGTTACTCGGGAGCTCGGACGGAGACACGGGGCAGTCGCCCTAATACACTCAAACTCGTCCGCCGAGGCAAACGCCAGACAGAGAGTGAAGCGACTCCTGAGGCATATTTCTGAGGCGACCCCTGTTTGATGAGAGTTTGCCTCCATCCTGGACGCTTACCAGGGGAAGGCCTCGGCCTCTATGCCTTGTTGTTGGCCCTCCATAGGAACTGACTGGCCACTGTATGAGACGGGATGCTGGAGTAGATGGACTGCTGGTCTGATCCACCAGGGCGATTCTTGAATTCTTATCAGGGGAAGGCCTCGGCCTCTCTGCCCTGTTGTTGGCCATTCAGAGGACCTGGTTTGCCACTGTGTGAGACAGGATGGTGGACTAGATGGACCCCTGGTCTGATCCAGCAGGGCTCTTCTAGTGTTCTTATCAGGGGAAGGCCTCGGCCTCTGTCCCCTATTGTTGGCCATCCAGAGGAATTGGTTGGCCACTGTGTGAGACGGGATGCTGGACTAGATGGACCCTCACTGGTCTGGTCCAGCAGGGCTCTTCTGATGTCCTTATCAGGGGAAGACCTCGGCCTCTCTGCCCTGTTATCAACCCTCCAGAGGAACTGGTTGGCCACTGTGTGAGACGGGAAGCTGGACTAGATGGACCACTGGTCTGATCCAGCAGGGCTCTTCTGGTATTTTTATCAGGGGAAGGCCTCGGCCTCTCTGCCCTGTTATCAACCCTCCAGAGGAACTGGTTGGCCACTGTGTGAGACGGGAAGCTGGACTAGATGGACCACTGGTCTGATCCAGCAGGGCTCTTCTGGTATTTTTATCAGGGGAAGGCCTCGGCCTCTCTGCCCTGTTATCAACCCTCCAGAGGAACTGGTTGGCCACTGTGTGAGACGGGAAGCTGGACTAGATGGACCACTGGTCTGATCCAGCAGGGCTCTTCTGGTATTTTTATCAGGGGAAGGCCTCGGCCTCTCTGCCCTGTTATCAACCCTCCAGAGGAACTGGTTGGCCACTGTGTGAGACGGGA